TATTTCTACAAAGCTTTATTATTCAAAAAAGGAGGATAAAAATGATTTTATTCTCTTGGTCTCAGTAAAGACCCAAATAGGAGTAGTGAAATAAAAACATCCAAATTCAATGAGCAGACTAATCCCCAAAAGAATAATATATTAAAATTTAGCCAGTGAGATTAATAATCAAATATGTAACTATGAGATTTTGTAATTTCACTCACTTTGGGAGAGAGGGGAAGTCAGAAGTGAAAACTTTGAGGTTCAATTTACAGTTAACATAGAACACATAAGCAGATTTCTGCAGTTGAAAGGTTTTTCCAACTATAAAGGCAGATAAATGTTACTAGTCCTACATCCTAAAGCCTACAGACTAATATGCAAAAGATCCATTCATCTTGTCCACCAGTGTGGCTCAGAGGTTGAGCATTGACCTATGAACCAGGTCACGGTTCAATTCCTGGTCAGGGCACACATCCGGGTTGCAGACTCCATCTCCAATAAGGGTCTGCAGGGGCAGCCAATCAATGAGTCTCTCTCATTATTGATGTTTCTATCTCTCTCTCCCTCTCCCTTCTCCTCAGAAATCAATAAAAATATTTTTTTAAAAAAGGATGATATATATATTTGCTCCTTCTATATATAAGGAAACAAAACTCCAATTTGGAAAATTCAGGCATAAAAGATACACTAAGGGATACGGAAAATACGAAAACAAGACTTCCTTAAACATCAATATTTCAAAATATGATCAGATTTAAATTCACTTTTTTAGGAATGTGTCTAGTATCCAAATGAGAAAAAAAGTCACTAAGAGCCAAAGGAAAACTTGGAAAAGGCACATGTAGTATCCTATCTCACACTGCAGTCTACTGATGAAGAGGGCTCCCAATACCATTTTCTCTCTTTGATGTCCTATTGGTTCTTTTAGTCTTTCTGTTTTGTCCTTGCTCCTCCTTTCTGATGCCTCATGTCAGCCACAGCTCTGCCTCCCTGGCTCTCCCTCCCTCTTTTGCTAGTCTCTAGTGATTGAAAAACAGTGAAGCTGAGAAGAGGCTCTAATACAGGATGAAACAGACCATAAGTACTACTTACCTGAAGGTTTACACCTCATTGGAGTCACCATAAGCATTTCCTTTCCCTATTCTAGATTAGACCCCAGACTTCTTACTTTTTGGTGTTCACCTTATCATAACCGTAAATTTCAGTGTTAGTTACCTTTAAATTTTATTTTCTTCTTTACAAGGCTACTTCCCCCTACTCCTTATCATCCTGCAACAACTGGGGCATATCACACAGGCCACTTCATATCAAGTGACCAGAGCATAGCAGCTACTGTCTTCCAGCACCAGCACACACAGAAACTAAGACTCTCCCAGTAGCCCTGCATGCTCCAGTCAGGCCCCTCATGACAGTGAACTCACCCATAGTCTAACTTTCAAATCAAAAGGAAAAGGAGATTGTGGGTTGGGCTTTGGGTTGGGGGTTTGTATTTCTAATTTGAAACAGGCACAAAGGGCATTAAAGTAGAAATTAAACAAACACTACCTGGATCTTGGTCTTGCTTTGAGACTGTTGGAATCCTTAGGAGTTGCTGAAACAAAGATTGATTATTGTTTGCTTGGGTTTCGTTTCTGCAGTTAACAGGTTTATATACAACACCTGGGCTAGTACAGAGCACATCAACAGGTTAATGTGAAGTACAGGTGTCCACGTGGAGAACTTGACGTCTTCCACAGTTCCATGATTTCAGAAATTTATTTCTAAAGTTAAAGGCACAATTGAAAGGAAAGAAAAAACAACATATTTTCCTTTCCTCAGAACACTAAGAAGCCATTCTCAAGTCAAAGTTGATTAACAAAGAAATTCCAGTCTAAAAAGACAACCTTCTCAAAGGGTTATCTATGTACATAATGAAGGGTTCAGACTTAAGGATTTCTTGGTCTATCATGACAGCCTAGTAATACATTTTGAATCAGTCTCCCCTGCAAGCTAGGAAGAAATCTATTGGGCTATATATGTTAAGGTTTTCTTAAAATACACTACCAGAGCAGCATGACCAGAAGAAATCAAAGTTCTAACAAGTAAGTTGCACTGCGCCAAGCAGCTTTTCTTAAAAGAAAATATTCTTGTGTCCTATGTCTCTATGACCAAATTGTACAGAGAATATTATGGCATGAAATCATTAAAATGTTTTGTCTACCATACAACCCTTCCTTATCAAATTTCAATCATAAACTAACTTGCTCACTACTGACACCCATAAAGCCTACTTCCCCATCCCAACTTGTTGAGAGTAATTAGAAACATTTACAAAAACATTAATATCCTTTTGATGTTTTCAATCCTCTATGAATGTCCACTTTAGAAACCACTAAAGTTGACATTTTGCCAGCACTGCAAATGTTTCATCATAAAATGGCATAAAAATTCACAGAAAAAGCGCTGCTAACTAGGAACAAGGAAATATAGTTTATATACTGTTTGCACAAATCCTTCCAGAAAGAAAATGTCTCACTGCATCATCTCCTCCTCTTTCACATCGCTCAAAGATAAAACCCTCCTTGTGTATGAAGCAGCCTGAATTTACAAGGACCATTAAAATTCTTGGGTTAGATAAGCAGAGTGGGAAGGGGAGCTAAAGTGCTAACAAGACACAAAGCGAACTGGTATTATGCATCCCCATTCCATGGGGTCAGCTGCAGAAGAGGTACATTTCTCCCAACCTACACATTTTGGCTTGTTGTAGTGAGAATACAGGCATCTTTCAACTCAAACCACGGAAACACTGCCAGAGCCCCGGAAAGCCTGGGCAGCCGAAGAGTCTGAGCCCTGTCTTACCCATTATCAACAAAAACTAATTCCCCCCAGGCATCAAAGGAAAACAGCCTAAGGAGAGCCTCTGAGACCTCCAGCCAAGCTGGCTGCTTTGGGGTGGGTGAAAAGTGTGAGCAGACTCACCACAGAGCTGGGGGCCACCCTCTAGCAGGCTGCCCACAGCAGGCTCTGGTTCTGTGGCCCTCTTCTCCCTCAGGCCCCACTGCTTTCCACAAATATGTAGGTAGAAGTCTCAGCCATGTGAAAATACTGTTCACCAAACCAGACGATGATGACCGTTAATTCTTTTGTCAATTGACACTATCTTTGTCTTTTTGCTGGGGTAGGGATGGGTGTGGAAACGGGGTAAACCCTGCTGGTGAGAGATAGACAGATGGGGTGAGGGGCACAAATGAGCACTAGAGACCAGTTCGGATGTCATGAGGCCTGGGTGCTCCTCCTGGCCATGGCACTCACTAGTTGTTAGCTCTCTGAGCCTCAGTTCCCTCGTCTACAGGATGAGGAAAATAAAAATGTAGCCATTCCTCACGGGAAGAGACAAGGCATCAAAGGTACTTTAACAACTATATGTATTTTAGAATTGCAAAATATTACTGTTGTACAGCTTTCCAAATTTTTTAAGTTTAGAAATCTCATTTTTAAATATAGTTCCCTCTAGGACAGTAAAGGAAAGGCAGGTGGGAGTAGGTAATGGAAACAGAGAACTGATCTATCCCATAGGACCATGGGGTGATAGCTGGCCATCGGGGAAGCTGCTAGAATCACTAACAGCATTCAGAAGACTACACCAGTTTGAGGATGAACAGGCTTAATCCACTCAGCATTACCTAGAGACATCAAGAAAAAGATCACCATTGTACAGTGTGCTCTGTTGAATTAGCTGAAATATAATGTTAGCTAAGAAATCTATTAGACTCCACTGATATATAGGCTTTCCGCAATTAAAAGGGTCAGGTTATATGAAAAAAATATGTACAAGGGATACTCTCATTCCCTGATAATAAAGTCGCACCCCATCAGTAACCCACCACATTGTCATCTTCATCACCATTACTATTACTAGTGTCCCAGTGCACAGATTCATGCACATTGAAAGGAAATTAAGTAGAAGAGATATTTTAATATTACTATTCGCCCTTGCAGTAAATATCAACATGAAGCAGGTTATTATTACAGATCACCCAGGAAGAACAAAGGGTAAAATACTTAACTGCAGCAGTGTTTGACTATATGCTGCGCAGTGAGAAAACTTGAAGTCGTTTTCAAGGTCCACCATTTCTCACTACATTTCAGTCGGGTCAAGTTTCTAAACTTTCTAAATCTCCATTTTCCAGCTAATGAAAAAAATTTTGACTCCATCGAGTCTCCTATCTATCTACTCCAGGACTTTTGTGAGGATCAAATGAGATGAGACACATGAAAACGCTTCACAAACATTTGGTTAAGGTGTAAAATGCACCTGGCTATAAAGCAAGTCGTGTTTCTGGGCTGAAGAAACTCCAAGGAGAAGTTGCTAAGGAGAGGAAGCTGGGCATTGCTATGTGACATCATTACCCAGCTCCCACAGCCACTATTTCTGGGCTGGGCTGGGCTGGGCTGGGCTGTGGGCCGCATTTTACACCATGAGGGTATTGGCAACATTGGCTGTGATTTGGTGGGGTGTCGCTCTGGGGTGGTGGCAGGGCCTGTGTCTCACTTGGGGAAGCCAAGTGTTGGTTTGTCGGTGTCAGGTCCGTGGTGTCGCTTATTTTTAAATGGCCACTGCATGTCATGGCAGCTCCTGCATTGAGCTTCTGCCCCCTGGTGGTCAATGCACATCATAGCTACCGATCGGACAGACAGCCTTTTATACATATAGATTATTATCACCATCCACTGTGGAAGAGCAGGGCATAAAGATGCTTTTCCTCCCACCTGCAAAAACATATCCCAGGCATGTCTTGGTAAGCGTCCACAGGTTTCTCCATAGGAGTTTACTATTCCACTTAAGTCTTCCATCTGTCTCTGAGCCCCTGAAAGTCAAGATCAGCATTTGGAGCATGTGAATATCTGCAAAAATGGTGATGGCATGTTGTGTTGAAACCCAGGTGGACGCCAACGGGTGGGTCATTGCTTCTCATTTAGTTAGGAAAGGGAAGAAGAATGACAACTTCCTAGAATACTCCAGGCATGTCATATTTCCAGGAAAGAGTTATGGGATAAGAATGCAAGCCTGAACTTTAATTCTCAAAAAAAAAAAAAGGCAACAACTCAACTGAGGTGAACTGTCCACATGGCACAGCCAGCCAGAATTAGAAACCACCACCTTGAAACTCCAATGTCTCCTGCTGGGAATCCAATTCCCTCATATAGATTCCAGAAGGGGGAAGCAGTGGGAAAACTAATCAGGAATCACATGGCATGCTCCCAGGCAGAATGTGAAACAAATTTGGACGTACTTCACACAATGTGGCACTCCCTGAGAGGTTTTATCTAGTGACACCACATCCTATTCAATGAAGGAATGTTAACAATGATATCTAAAGCTCACCCCAGAGAACACGTGATGCTCATGGGAAAAAAAAAAACAGGAAGAGTTATTAGGCTCAAAGGCTATTGGAGAAGCAGCAATTTAACTCGCTACATTAAATAGTTTTTACTAATTTCATAATATGAAGTTAACAAAAATTGGGATGTATCCACTTTAGCTCCACAAAAAACCTGCCTCAGGCATTTCTCCTACACAAATAAAGCATTTCCCTCATAATAAAGGAATCCAAATCAATTTCAAAAGCCAAAACTAGGCTTGAGAATTTCTACCACTTTTGGAGTCATGGCTCATCTTCATTTTCTATTACT